TAAATATATATATATACCTATATATATACATATATATATATACATATATATATATACATATATATATATACATATATATATATATATATATATATATATATATATATATATATATATATATATATATATATATATATATATATACACATATATAATGTATAATATATATATAGTGCAAATATTTATAATTTTATAGTTCAATTTTTATACTACATATACAGAATTGGCCTGGAATGGAATCTAAATAAATTTTGCATTTTTTAATAGCATACTTTAATTTGTCTTTTTTTTTTTTTTTTTAAGTCAGAACATCTGAGTTTCTGTCTTTAAAATGGTAAATGCAGCTTGTTTAGTAAAGTTAGTAAATGCTATTATTATCAATTTGATTTCTTATATTAATTACTTTAATTTAGTTTGGACCCTACATTTACAGAATCTCTGATTGGATTTTTTATATTTGGAGACATATATTGTCTAACTATTCATCATCTATTGAACTATTGATCATCTATTGTCTGACATGACCAATTTTTTAAAATTTGCAGTGAACCACTTCATAAATAATGTGTTCTTCTAAACTGGGTCAGTTCAGTTCTTATCTTGAAACAATTACCCCCAGAACATTAAACAGCAACTGACTGCACTCCTGGATGTGCATTACCAGCACCTCCTGAAAGGCCGCTTTGAGTAAACGTCTAGTAAAAAATACCCCCGTGCTCCATTAGTTCCTGCTCTGAGCCATCGCTTCAGGGAAAGCAGAAACCAGACTCCTTAGCCTGAGCTTCCGGACGCTTCCATTTGGACGGGGAATACGGCGGCGGTCTTGCGCATCTTAAAGCACTTAACAACAACTGCCTGTTTAGAAGGAAACGCTCAGGTTTTCTCCACCGCACACTCCACTGGGTCTAGAAACCAGTCCGAGGCTCATTTTAAAATATAAATCATCTGTTTATTAGAGACTTTACATTATATTTCTTCACTAACACTTTCAAAACATACATTCATGCAGTCATGCGTTAAAGGGATGGTTTGTCCACAAAATAAATTATTAAATTTATTGTACTCACATCCATGTTGTTGGTTTCTTCTTCATATTTCTTCTTCAACACAATCGTGGCTCTTGGTGATTCATAAAACGCAAGTCAACAGCACTTCAGGAGTAGAATAAAACACATACAGGCAAAACAATGAATACCCATGGCTCCTGACAATACTGTGAGGTCTTATGAAGTGAAACTGAGCATGATTTACAACAGTATTACCTTTAACCAACAACCCATTGGCTTTGACAGTGAAAGGTTAGTCTCCCGAGGAGTAAATATTCCCCTTGGGAGATTTTTCTTGGTGTTCACGATGTAACTTAGATCTCTGTAGTGATGTATGCAAGCCAATACAATTTTGACCATAGCATTGGGAGCAAAGCTGTGTTTTTGTTGCGATTAGACTGATGGATACTTTGCAGTGGGAACTAATATCGTCCCACCAATAGGTTCCTATATCTTAAATCATTCTCAGTTCCTTTAGTCCAAGCACAGCAAAAAGCATGTATACTTCTGCCAATAGTTCTAGGAACTATGAATAAGGGCATGCTCACACTATAGGCACAGTTGCCTTGAGCCGTGCCGAAGCGCATTTTTCCCCCTTCTTTCTCCCCTGACCGCTTGCACTCACATTGCATTTTACCTTCCGAGCAAAAGCACGCTTACGTAGTCAATGATGCGAATATTCAGTTTAACAGAAGAGAAGCGCTCTCGTTCAGCACAGTGGACATTGCTTTTTAGTGGTTTGGGATGCAGTGACACACAGTAAAATATTTCGCTGAACAGATCCAGCACTTTTGACGCTCATAAATGATCATAAGTGACGTTTATTTATGAACTAATTTCGAGAGGATCACGTGCTTATGATTGCTCACGGCTGGTCCTGCATTATCCAATTTATGATGCACCAATCAGACGATTCCTAAGCCACTATAAATACCCTAGGTTCCATATAACAGCCATCTTCATTTTGAAGAATCCCCCCTTCCACCCCTACTTCTCCTCCTTTCCTAGATGGGTTAGCACTGTTGCCTCACAGCAAGAACGTCTCTGGTTTTAGCCAATTCCAAGCCAGCCGACGTTTCTGTGAGGAGTTTACACATTCTCCCGGGTTTGTCCCGGGCCCCCGGTTTTCTCCCACCATCCAAAAACATGCAACTTAAGTTAATTGACTCCAAATCGGCACCATAGACATGCTCCTAGTAAGTAGTTATCTCTTAAGAGCAATCACTATCTGTTTATTAGCTACTACAGCAGGGGAGTTCTCCAGATCTACCTGAGCTCAAACTCCCCTCTCGCCTTGCAATGGGATGCGAATTGCGAGTCCCGGGCTCGAGGATCTTATGAGCTCAGGGTGCTCTCCCGGGACAGCATGCCAAACAAGCTTTATAATCAATCATCAGCCAAGTGTGAACTCTTGAAAAGTCCTGTGTTGCAGGTATTAGGAGGTTTGCTGATGGAGCAGTTGATGTACAGAAAGGGGTTTGCGTCTTTAATAAGCTATGACAGTTCTCGTTCATTAAAACGTAAGAATGATTAATAAATTCATAAGAAACAGTCTATTAAAAGTGACGTTGCATTTTCAGTTTCACTTTTAGGCGCGCTTTGCACTCACACTACAAGCGTACCGCGCCAAAGCCCAACCAAACTGCACTCTGGCATACCTCTACCGGGCCAGGGCGGGCAACTGGACCCAACCTTCTCCCAATCTGGATCACTCAATCTTGTCAAACGAACAGGGAAATGCGCCCGGGCATGGTTCGGAGAGCCTAGTGCCGGTCCTGGAGGGCCGGTGTCCTGCACAGTTTAGCTCCAACTTCCTTCAACACACCTGCCTGGAAGTTTCTATTATACCTAGAAAGAGCTTGATTAGCTGGTTCAGGTGTGTTTACCTGAACTTGGGTTGGAACTAAAATATGCTGGACACCGGCCCTCCAGGACAGAGTTTGGACACCCCTGGCCGATTGTAAGTACACTCTAATTCTTCCAGTGCAATAGCCCCTATTGTATTGTCAGGAGCCAGGGGTATTCACTTGCAAAAACAGATAACCACAGTTGATTTTCAGAAATCGGGTGTTCTCAGTATTCAGTGTCCTAAGCAACTTCTTAGTATTAGAAATTTCCAGAAATAATGGTTTTTGCTACTGTCCTCAATGCATCATAAAAACATGATGGCTCTCAACATGCCAGTACCCATGCGGTTTATAAATCACCGTTTCAAATTAAAATCTTCTTTAATTTCATACTGAAGGCAGAAGTCTGCTTAATGACCTGACGGTGAATAAACTGACAGCATTTACATTTTTTGATTTG